ACAATGAATTTCAAGGAGACTCTTAATCATGTGCTAATAGTCCGCTCGCAGCTCGAGCAGAAACGCTTTGAATTTATAGAGGAATGTCATGGTGTATGCAGAGAGGACTGTGTGTGTGGTGTTGAAAATGTATTTGTTAAATTGCATGGTAGAAATGTGAAGGACATTTACAATCATTTACATCATATTTTATCTTCATTTAAAGCTTTTTTTTTTAGCCACACATGAAACGTCCTTTCTGACAGATGTCACCGAAATAGGTGTCTTCACAAATCACACTTGTCTGTGTTATAGACTCTATATGCCTCTGCCTGTCATTTGGCATGCTGACATTAGATTGGCTGAAATATCTTTGGAGGCGGGGCTTTGTAGAGAAGCTGTCTTGTTTAAGGATGTGATGGGAAGTTTGCCAAACAGCTGAAATGATTGATTTGAATGGCTGACCACAGCAACTTTAATGTCATTTAAGAATCTATGAAACTTTATCAGATATATAGCAATTTATTTACATTTTTAAATTTAAATTTTATTACATTTTTATATTTAAATTTTTTAATACCACAAACTAGATTAAATTGATTTGAACGGCTCCAACATAGTATTGTTTTGACATGAATTTTGATTGTAATTGTGCAGGGTTTTTGCAAACTTTTATAAAAAATATTACTGCTGTGCGTATTTATTTTCACAGCATTCTTAAAGTATTTATTCTTCCAAAAGACACACTGTTTGATTTCTGTATAACATTTTTTAGCCTCACTCCCCAGATATGCTCGTTCAACAATCTAGATTACAAAGATGTTCTTTCTCCATCCATTGTTGGAGTTGTTTTCTGAGACAGTTAGTGCTTTATTTTGGAGGACTGGCTGTCCAGTGAAGCAAACAAAGAGCATCAGTTTGTGGATGTCTGTCCCTGTGCTGCTTTCTGTGTAAGTGTTCACTCGCTCTATTTTTACACCCCAGTGTTCTGAGGAAAGTGTGACTGTGCTCCAGTAAGTTTTTTCTGTTGGGGATTCATTGTTTTCTCATAGGAATGATGTCAAGGCCTTTTTGCTTTTTGGTTACTTGTTAAATTAGTGCCTGTTTTGGTGTCAGTACTGAGTAATACAAATCAACCACTTGTATAATGTTTGCCATGGAACAGCTTATGAATACACATTGTTGCTGTTATTGTAAGACATTATGACATTCCTGTATTGCTGTCAAGGTCATGGGTTTAAAGGAAATTAACATGTAATGTATAGTGTTTGTTGCATTGTGTCTGTCAAATTCACAAATTTAAATGTAATTATATTGTGTAATATTATTATATTAGAACACAACTATTCTGATAATTGATTAATCTATTGATTATTCCATTAATTAATCAGATATTTGACATCTGGCCATAAAAATTATGTCCAATTTACAAATGTATAAATATAGTGATTGATTAAAAAAAAATCAGTTACTGTGAAAAATTACTTTTTTATTAAATAATCATTAAATTGTATTTTACACTACCATTCAAAACTTTGGGATCAGTAGTTTTATTTTAATTTTTTTTAAAGAAATGAATATCTTCATTCAGCAAGGATGCATTAAAGGGGTCATATGATGCTTTTTTAAAGATCATTATTTTGTGTATTTGGCGTAAACATTTGTTGAGCAGCAAATCCGCATATTAGAATAATTTCTAAAGGATCATGTGACACTAAAGACTGGGGTAATGATACTGAAAATTCAGCTTTACCATGATTTTTAAACTGTAGTAATATTTCACAATATTACTGTTTTCACTGTATTTTTTATAAAATAAATGCATCCTTGGTGAGCATAAAAGACTAATTAAAAACATCAAAAAATCTTACCAACCCTAAACTTTTGAATGGTAAGATAGATGGATTTTTTTTTTAGGTAACCTTTTTAAGGTAATGTGTAAATTCATAATCATCAGTAATTATATCTGTCTGATGTGAAAATGCCTAGGCCTGTATAATTAAATTGTACAGTAATTGAAATTAAGATCTTATGAGTCGGGTCAAGCATATTAGAGTGTGTGTATTAGCTGCTGGGTGCATCAGCGGGTCGTCAACATCTTATAATCATCTTATAATCATCTTGTAGGTACTTGTTAAGGACTAGGGGTCTTGCTAATATGGACAGTGACGGCAGGAGATTGTTAGTGGGCGTAAAATCCTCTAATCTTCTTTTCACTGCTAACAGAGACAGTGTCGTGAGTGCCTGGTTCATGACCCGTGATCTCTTAGGCCATGTCCACACGTACACGAGTATTTTTATAAACTGAGTTTTTCCTTCTTCCGTTTAAAAAAAATCTCCTTCCACATGAAAATGCAAACGCATGCTATGAAGCGCTATCAAGAGCATGCCAAACCAACAGGTGACGATATAATCTCAACCGTAAAGCCATGTTGACCAATCAGAAGCCTGAAAAAGTCTCCAGTAGGTGGAGATAACAGCGCAGGCTTTGACGTCACAAGCCAAAAACTCTGGTTTCGCTGTCTACACGACAACACTGCAACCGGAGTTTTTGAAAATCTTCACCCTGGCAGGCGTTTTCAAAAATGTTCGGTTTCAGTAACCTGGTGCTGCGTTTGCGTGTGGACGAACGGCCACAATTTATTATTTTAAAAATAACCGCGTTCGTGTGGACAGGGCCTTATTGTCTTGCGTGGAATCCCCAGAATTCTCAGTTGCTTACATTAATGTTTTTCAAATCCAGCTGTTTCTTTCAGGTTTGAGTGACATCAAGCCTTCATCATTAAGATAATGCTGGGAAATAGATAGAAAAAAAGGAATAGAGAAAAAGAGAAATAGATATAAAAGGGCATTTCGTCAGTCACATTTAGTCAGTCTCGTTTCAGTCTCCATAGGTGCTTAATTCAGTAACCAAGGAAGTGCTCAATCTCCAAGCTGAATGGTGTAAACAATGTAACAAGTGTAAAAAGGAATAATCAATAGTTTTAATTAGTTGCAACATAAATTTGCAAAACGTTTTGGGTTCGTATCCCATTTTAGAACATTCCTTATTTACGTGCAATAAGCCATATTTTATTTTGTTTTGATACATGAATAGTAGTAATGGACTGAAAATATTCGGCTGCATTTTTTTTAAAATTCTGCTGAAACTGTTTTGGGTGGTGCATTTGGCGTCAGCGTCTATTTCATGCGCACAAAAGGTTCTTATGTCACTTTTAAGCCCAAAGTATACTTAGTTTTTGTACGCATACGCTAGCATATGCATATAGCTGAATGCGCAGCCTTTCAAAGTATACTCTATTTTAGTGGTCGACCGATATTGGTTTTTTGACAGCCGATGCCGATATCTTGGAAAGCAGGATGGCCGATATAAAGCCGATATAATTTTATTTATTTTAATTAATGTTTAAGAAATTTGAAATCATTTGAAAATGGATTAAAAAGTAAATGTGTTAAATAATCGATCGACCACTACTCCATTTGAGGCGTACGTAGGCAGTCAACACATGCGCTCTAGACAGCTTCATCTTTGTCCAGCGTCTGCTGTATTTTTCTCCAGAAGGTAAACATATCTTTGTACTCTTTTTAACTAAAGTTGCTGTTATCTTATAACCCCTTCACACAAGTGCTTGTCAATTCAGGCATCTGTTTATTGTTGCAGTCTCATCTATTTTGTAGTAGTTTCTGTTGTGTTTTTTTGTTTTGTTTTGTTTCCTACTGTGAAACAGCGGCCCGGGCCAGTGCTGCCACCTTGTGGAACAACTGATTAGTGCAAAACCAAGTCAATGTGCATGTGCGTCCTGCACATACTATTCTGGTGATGTAATTTGTGTCACACACACTGTACGTGGACCCTTGCGTATGCGTAAAATACAAAGTATACATTGGCCTTTAGTCTTTGCTGTTTTCATGTGATGCGTAGGGATGTAACGGTATGAAAATTTCATATCACGATTATAGTGACCAAAGTTATCACGATTATCAATACTATCACGGTATGCATGAACAAAAATGTAACTAAACATAATTTGTGTCTCGACCTCACATCCAATAATTGCAAAAGGCTTTGTGCTTTGTTGCTTTTGATATGAAACAAAGTCTGTACTTTCAAATATTTTCTATTTAGAAAACATGTTTTGATTATTTTAAATAGTTTTGTAATGTGTATTAGTAGCTACATTAAGCAATTTTAACCTATTTGAAGAGGGAGATTATTTTGCTAAAATATATGCGCTATATTACATTACATTATATTTTTACTTAAATGTTGTCTTCATTATTTAATGCATGTTTGAATTAATCTGTCATAAAAACAAGTTTTTGTTACCGCCACTGTTTGTGTATATTCAACAATGAATTGAAACTATATAAAAGCTGCCTTAAATATTTATTTACACCTCAGTTTTTGCTTGAGTGTTGATTATTAAAGAAATTTAATTAAATAATTTATTATTAAATCAGTTATTTTCAGTTTCAGTAAATGAAGACTTTGATTTCAGTAAAAAAATGCATCACTGATAAATACATAACACTACAAGACTTATATGCTACAAATACATATGGAAGTGGAAGCCACCCTCCTAAAGCCTTTTTAAAAACGTTGTAAAGTTTCCTCAGCAGTGCGCTATGTTAAATATTAAAGTGAACACCGTTGTCCTGCGGATCGCTGCAGTCTCTTGGGATTTCTTGGGAGTGTGTGTGTGTGTGTGTGTGTGTGTGTGTGCATAGGCTAATATTGTATACACTCCGTCAGTACACACATAAATATGTAGGTATTGATCTGTGTGTGTGTGTGTGTGTAAATGTAGGCCAGTTGTGTATTAGGATTACATAAGAAGAGGAGCCGGCAGAATCACAGCGAGAGAACGAAAGAGAGAGAGAGAGAGAGCGCAGACATGAAAACGGTGCTGTGCCGAAAGTGGGCACGCGCTGTGCAGTCGTTCAGGACTCGCCGTGGCTCCGTGAGTCTTATTTATAGTCCCTCTCTCTCTCTCCCTCGCCCTCTCTCTCCGGGTGCCTAATCTTCTCCACCTCAGAGCTTAATTAGATTGGAGGTCGGGTGGCCATGGGGAGAGATGAGTGTGAACTGGCTCCCCTTTGGTTGCTGCGTGCGCCTGCAGAAAGCCCAGAGATGGAGGCGGCGCGAAGGGGCGCGAATCGAGGTGCGGGGGGAGACCGAGGAGCTAAGGAACAGCTTCATCATCCTCTTCTCATCCAGGCATGCGTCATGCCTGCTCAGACTGCTGGTGGGGATGGAAAAAAAGGCGCTCGCGGTGGCTTGATCCTCCAGGGATAAACCCTTCCATCAGCTGCCACCTTAGAGAGAAGATTGTCGTGTTTCTACCCCCCTTTCCTAGATCCCGCAGTAGGCTCTATTTGTACGGAGTTGGTTTGTATGGCGTTAGTGGGCGTGTTTTGTTATTGTGTGCAAAGTTTCGTGACGTGTCGTGTTGTATGTCAGCAAAGCGTTTGGGTTTGTGAATCGTTTGTGCTTGGGGAAAGTTGTGGTTTTGTGTTGCGTTAGTCTGATGTTGCTTGTTGAAATGAAACTTTGCAAACTAATGATAACGAGTGGAATGTAAACCGCAGATTGAAGGTTTGAACGAAGCATCCTAGTTGGCATGCGTGAGCCGGTAATGCAGGTGCAGGTGTGTGCGTGTGGACTTCACTGGCTCCTGTCGCATAGCGTAGCTTTTGCTGGCAGCGGCTGCGCTGTCTCTGTTGATCCATCTGCCGTGCTGTTTAAACTCTTTCTCTGTCTGGGTTTTCTGCTTCGGTCATTACTGTGAGAGGCAGAGGGGAGCAGGTGTTTGGGGCTCTGTATCCCTGAGGTGTGAGGAGTATTTTTAGAGTGTTTGTGGATTGATGTGTATGTGTGTGTGCATTTGAGCTGCGTAATGAGTATATTCACATATATTAGCAATGAAGTTAAGCTACATTATGAATATCACAATTATTTCAGTAAGTTTGCTAAAGTCATTAGATTAATTTTAGAGATGCACCGATCGATCGGCCAGGGATCGGAATCGGCCGATTTTCCTCATGATCGGCCCGGATCGGTGATCGGCCGGTCAGTCTCACTTCTTTCCGATTTCGAGCCGATCCGTTTTGTTACCAGCGGCACAGGCAATAATGTCAGCCGCGCATTCTCGCTCTCTTCTCTCCGACGACCCCTTCTCTCTCACACACGTCTCATTCGCTCCGGTTAAATAGTGCTTGTATTGCGCATTATTTTAGTCATTCCTGCAGGTTTTGCGCTTACACCAAAAGCGCGCGCACCATCACTGATCTATATTAGTGGATCGCACAATCCGCGCTCAGTCTCAAACAGCTTGTGAGCCGCAAATACCAAAATGAGTGGCTAACTGCGCTAAAACGTTCAAATACATAAAAAATTGTGTCAAAATGCCCATTTTGGCAAGTATCCAGTTAAACACAGTCAGTTTTGGAACGTTAAATAGTTGAGAAAGAGAACGCATTTTGTGTAACAGTGTATTGGGTCCGTGGATAAACTCTTAAAGGAACACTCCACTATTTTTTTTAAATAGGCTCATTTTCCAACTCCCCTAGAGTTAAACAGTTGAGTTTTACAGTTTTCGAATCCATTCAGCCGATCTCCGGGTCTGGCGGTAGCACTTTTAGCTTAGCTTAGCATAGATCATTGAATCTGATTAGACCGTTAGCATCTCGCTCAAAAATGACCAAAGAGTTTCTATATTTTTCCTATTTAAAACTTGACTCTTCTGTAGTTACACCGTGTACTAAGACCGACGGAAAATGAAAAATTGCGATTTTGTAGGCCGATATGGCTAGGAACTATACTCCGTTTCCGTTTCGTAACATTTCCATCGGTCTTAGTACACAATGTAACTACAGAAGAGTCAAGTAAACCGTGAAGATTTTTGGGTGAACTATCCCTTTAAGTAATTTTAATTTGCTATTTAATAGCAATTTATAGCTTTGTCAAATAAAAAGTAAACATTTTCTGTGATTTTTGTGTAAAATAACTGTACGTTTGATTTTACAATTTTGTAAACGTTGCATTTGTCATCATTAATTTTGTAATTGTAAAAGTATTATAATTGACCACCCTGCTTTATAGATATCAGCATCGGCTATTAAAAAAAACCCATAGTGGTTGACTGCTAATAAATATCTACCAGGACTTCTCTATCATATGGAGGGGTGTTTTTACTATACAGTTGTGCTTTTGTTTTTGCTCAGGTGTTCTGTTGACAAGTGTGGCGACCGATTTACTGCTCTAGTGGGTATGTGGGTGTAGTGTGTGTGTGTGTGTGTGTGTGTGTGTGTGTGTGTTTGTGCGCGTCACATACCTCCCTCCTTGTCACACGTCTAACCTGTTGTATCTGCTGTGTGGACAGGCTGTTCAGACATGTTAACGTGACGGGCTGCGGTCTGCAGGTTGAGTTTACATGCTGTCCCGGTGGCCCTGCTCTCTCGGGTCTGTGTGGTGTGGACGGCTTCATGCTGATGGGCCTGTCGACAGGAAACAGTGTTGCAGACACATCTCAGCGTATTGGGACCAGTAGGGTCCTCCTCTCAGGCTGCTCACAGGGTCCTGTCCCTCTGAGACTGAGCAAGCCAGGGAGAGATGAGTCTTGACCTTGTTGTGAGGAGTTTACTAAATAAGACTGGAGAAAGAAATGGAGGGATTTTTAGTTTACTTCTCAGGAGGGATGAGTGACTCAGGTGTTCTGTTGACAAGTGTGGCGACCGACCGATTTACTTAGTGGGTATGTGGGTGTAGTGTGTGTGTGTGTGTGTGTGTGTGTGTGTGTGTGTTTGTGCGCGTCACATACCTCCCTCCTTGTCACACGTCTAACCTGTTGTATCTGCTGTGTGGACAGGCTGTTCAGACATGTTAACGTGACGGGCTGCGGTCTGCAGGTTGAGTTTACATGCTGTCCCGGTGGCCCTGCTCTCTCGGGTCTGTGTGGTGTGGACGGCTTCATGCTGATGGGCCTGTCGACAGGAAACAGTGTTGCAGACACATCTCAGCGTATTGGGACCAGTAGGGTCCTCCTCTCAGGCTGCTCACAGGGTCCTGTCCCTCTGAGACTGAGCAAACCAGGGAGAGATGAGTCTTGACCTTGTTGTGAGGAGTTTACTAAATAAGACTGGAGAAAGAAATGGAGGGATTTTTAGTTTACTTCTCAGGAGGGATGAGTGATGGTTTCCTGCTGATTTTTTTTCTTCTTTTTTTGGGTCTAGATTTGCGTTATTAGAAAGATTTTATTTTATTTTATTTTATTTTTTATACACAGCCCTAATGTGTACTGCATGTGTAAAATGATCAGACTTGAACCTGTTTCACCAGCATGATAACCAAGGCTTAACACATCTGGAGCATGTGCACTAGGAGTTTCAGTGTAAAAAACAAGGAAAAAAACAATATATACAAATCTTTCATTTGTATATATTGAAATGTTTTGCAGAGTATTGTTAGTGCTTTTTTGATGCATTAGGACATTGCAGTGATATATTTTAAGTTTGCATGCCGCTAGTAACAGTTTGCATCACCTCGCTTGACAAAAACCCAATAGGATTTTTCTTTTGGCTTTTGGATTATTGCAGAAAATAGCTCTGCAACCAACAAAGATGTATGATTCTTGTATGTTCTGTTCATCAAGATAATCTTCATAAATGAACTTTTATGAATTTTGAAGTCTAAATACAATTGCCATAAGTTAAAAGCTAAAAGTAGACTATAAACAAACTACACCCACGTTTGCATGACTTCAGCATCACCATCACTAAGCTTTTGACAACTCTTTAAGTGTTTATTTAAAGAATACATTTTCCCTTAAAGTTTGAAGTATAATTTGCAAGAGTAAGATTATAAAGACATTGGAGCTGCGGAAGGGGAAATGAGTTTAATGGAAATGACGTTTAATGTCACAGACACTGTATTCCCATTTAGCCACTTGATAGCAACTGCCTTTTCGAAGACAAATAAATGCTTTTAAAAATCTCAAGGGGGTATTACTGATGTATTTTATTTTGTAGAATAAAACATGAAAATATCTTGAACTTGTTCACCACAGACCTTATTTCAGGCATTTAAACAAAAACCTGTTAAAAAAAAACATTGATTTCAGGACGATAGACCTAGAAGTGCTAAAAATGCTCTCGTTTATGGTTTTGGCCTACAAAAATACTTCATCCTTGCAGCTGTCTATAGGGATGGGCCTGCTTCAGCTTTAACAATGACTTTATAAATGTCATAAAAACAGATATGATTACATTCCTCTAAATAACTCCTCTGAAGCCATGCAATAGTGAAATATAAAACTGAAATGTAAAGTTTTGTTTGCTGAAACCCTTCCCCACATTCATAGCTCTTTAATCCTGTCATGTGAGTTCAGATTAGTTTTGACGTCAGTGACGATCATCATCCAATATTTCATGATTTTCATTGACATCAAACCAGATAGTCATGCGGGTTTGGAACAACATGAGGGTGAACTGTTAGTTAATGCTCATACAGTTTGCTCATAAATGCATTTTTGTTTAGTACCTTGGTCAAGCAAACTAGATTAAGAGAAAATGTCCATAATTGTTGTTCCTTTTAATATTTGGAAAGCCCTGTGGCCATTCCTGTGGCGTTCTTTGATTTATGAAGCGTGCAGCTTTGTAATTTTACATTTAGCTATGAAACTTTCCATCATTTTTCCAGAACAAGGAGGTGAGTGATTTGTAGAAGCAGCCTGAACTGCCTTCAAATAATGCAGCATCTTTAGCTCTCTCGCTATCTGTCTTTCTCATCACAGTCTTATGAATAATATCTCCACTAGCCACCCACAGAAAACAGCCCAGCGCAGGAGGAGAGGAGGAGAGCTGTCTTAGCTTATCAGCATCAGGCCCTTTATTCACTTTATCTCTGTGGATTAGTTTTATTTGCTGCATAGCGCACAATCCGAGCGCTTGTGGAGAGGCAAACAAATGCACATGTCCACACTAATTGTACGCTTCCGTAGTAGTCCGAGGGCAGATATCTGCAGGCAGAATCCTCCAATTAGAGCCGCACGCCAACAGAGACGAGGGGAAGTGTGTGTTTGTGAAGAAAAGCTAAAGGGAAGTGCAGAAAATGAAAAACAAAATGTATATTTCGCGCCGCTTCACTAAAGATATGCGCCTCGCCTATTTTTGAAGGTAAGAGTGTGCGCTCGAATATGCTGTAGAACCGCTCTCGCGATACTTTGATGCCATTCACCGATCAGTCTGCGCAGTGCTGCTTCAAGTCGAACACACCTATTGGGTTTGTGGTGTTGTTGTGCGTGCTAGGGAACGTATATCCGCCATATGTCATCGCGTCGCTATATCATTGATATCGCGATATGACACTTTTTTTATCATGTAAAAATTTATACCGGTATTATCGTGGACGGTATGATATGGCACACCCCTATATACTCACATAAAGTAGTATACATTATAAAGCAAATCTCGGCTGTTTAAGGTCCCAAAAATGTAAACTGTATTGTTGCACAGTGATATATTATATCCAACTTGATTTGCATACATGTTAAGTTGTCATAAATACCAATCGCGATACCATTCGGTACTGAAATTTTAAAAACGTCCATTTCCCGCTAACATTTGAGCGCTGTTCAGCGTCTATCAGTGGATCCCTAATATATCTGCACATAGATGGACCCCAGATAGATGCAGCTATCAAACACTCCCGTGTGTTTCTGTGTGAGTGCTCGGTGAAGAGCGTGAAGCGATGATCATTGAAGCCAATCACAGACGGATCTGTTGAGCGTAGGGCTGCACGATTAATCGAATGCGATTGTCATGCGCATCTTGCCAGTAAAGCCGGTTCTGTGATTAGTAGTAAATCTCCAGCACATGCTTTCAGATGGAGCAGCATTTCCTACACAGAGCCGTAGTTCACTGACAAGCTATGCAAAATCGCGTTCATAATCGCAGACGATTTAATCGCGCGATTATGAAATCGAAGAAATCTTTCTGCGATTATGAAAGCTGTTTGCATAGCTTGTCAGTGAACTACAGCTCTGTGTAGTAAATGCTGTTCCATCTGAAAGCACGTGAAAATACCACATTTAATAACGTTTTTACTCCAAACTCACTTCATAACGTCAGTCGAGTGTTTGAAATAAATCCATCTGTGAGATGATGTGACTTCTTACACAGAACATATTTCATAGTATTCCAAGAAGTGATAAAGGCTATGTCGATTAGCATTGCATTATTATATACTTTATTATAATAAAAATTATAATAAGACGAACTCAGATAAACCATATATTGTCGTAGTCATGTGTTTAATAGTCACGTTGAATCAATGAAAGCAGTTAAATCTTCTGTTTATTCAGCAACCGCTATAGGCATTTCCTGGGTTTCTTCTGCGAGGCGTATTTGGAGTTTCAGCACGAGAGCACCCTCTGGCCTTCGGATGGAGATTTACTGCTGATCACAGAACCGTGCTTCACTGAAAGAGACGCATGACAATCACAGCTTCTGTAATCGCGATTCATCGCCTTTGCGATTTAATATCGATTCATCGTGCAGCCCTAGTTGAGCGCATGAACACAATGACCAATCAGCGCTGTTTAAGAATCTGCTCAACAGGGCTCAAATGTTAGCGGGAAATGGACGTTTTTAAAATTTCAGTACCGAATGGTATTGTGGCCTGTACTTTTGACAACACTAATACATATATAATACATGCACCTAAAGCGATATATATACTATTCAGCAAATCTTAACTGCCTGATTTTTTTTATTTCATCGCAAAATGTAACTAGCGCCCAACTCTTAAAATAATGTTGGTTATATAAAGGCACTTTCTCACCGGAGAAACCTTTTCATAGTTCCTAGAACTATTGGCGGAAGTTCCAGCTTTTTGGCGTGTTCGCTTTGCAGGTTCCTAGTTCTAGGAAACTCTATATCTAGATTGTCATGCTCGTAAATCCTCGCGTAAATTGTATGTTTACACTCCATCTCCGTTATCACAAAACCCGCGACACACAACAAAAACATGTAACATTATAAATGCTAAATGCCGCGAATAAAGACATCCCTATTGACCGCTTCAGAGTTCCTGCTGCCGGTGCGAATGCAACCAGGAAAACGGCCCGAGGGAGTAATTGGTTCTCTCGGAACGACCCTGTTGGCTTCTTTATAGAACTAAGTTCCTAGAATACGCGGTGCAAAAGCGCTTGTAAGTATGTTCAACTTTATCTGGATACATACGATATACTGTGCTCATGTAAGTTGATATATACTAAATCAAACCTCAACTGCTTGATTGCCTGTATCTTTGCAAAATGTAAACTATATTATCGTCCAGCTCTAATCTGCTAGATGTGACTATATGGAATGAAAATAATAAAATATTATAAATATTAACATCATTATTTGTCTGTGAAGCTGTTTTCAAATGATGTGTATTGTGAAAAGTGCTGTATAAATAAGTTTGACTTGACATGGTAAGGAGAAACGTTTAATGAAAGTAGAATCAGGTGTAGATTAGGATATTGTTTAGATTAAACAGAATCTTATTTAAAGACTTCTATTTTAAGAAGCTTTAACTGGACATGTTGTCAAAGTCACCATGGTTTAACCTTGTGTCGTCATGGTTTAGTTGAGGTTGGGTTGTACTGTGACTGTTTCCAGTTAATCATCAATATTGATGGGTATGTCTGTCTGTTCTTTGGAACAAACACACCCTTGAGCTGTGTGTAGAGTTTGTCGGGCCGGTTGTTTATATGTGTCCTAAAGAGGGATATACAGACCCTGGTGTCATGTTTAAGGACATTGGCTTGCATAGATCTGTGAGTTGACATGGATTCAGTGTTCATATGTCTTTATTATTCTTTAAAAAAAAAATGGTGCTTTCGCCCTTGTGAGCTGTGGAAATGACAGGCCCATCCTTCATACACACTCTTCTGCCATATGCGGTAGACCCTCAGTTTGATGCAGTGACATAATGAGTCGTACCAAATAATGAGACGTTCACAGGTATTTCTGGATGATACCATATAGCTGGGGAGGGGAGGGTCTTCATGTATTTACTGATATTCATTTTCATTATCTCATTATAAGGAATATACTTGGTTATTTACAACTTTACGGTGAAGTGTGTAAAATAAAATAGCATGATAAAAATCTAATTTATACTTTTGTTCAAAATTTGGTGTTGGATATATTTTTAAATGTTTTTGAAAGTGTCTTAGGCACACCAAAGCTGTATTTATTTGATAAAAAATACGGTCAATCAGTAATATTGGGAAATATTATTACCGTTTAAAATGACTCTTTTTATTTTTATTTTAAATATTAAAAAAAGAGTATTAATAAATATTATTATTTATTTTTGTGGAAATTGTGATGCATTTTGGAGGATTATTTGATTAATATAAAAGTCGAACAGCATTTATTTAAAATGGAAATCTTTGTATCATATTATAAATGTCTTTACACATCAATTTAACACATCCTTGCTGAACTGACTTCTTTAATAAAAAATATACTGACCGCAAAAGTTTGAATGGTATTTTCAGTAAAAACAGAAAAAAATAGATGAAAAAAAAGGATAAAAAAATATATATATAAGTAGTTTCCCCAACACGTTTCCCATTTCTTTATTCCATAACTGGTATATAAGACAGTATTTTAACTTTAAAAAATGACACACTTTACCTTTAAAGTGTATAGATAGAATCTGTGGTATTCTGTAGAATAAGAGAAAATTATAGAACGTAATTTTGACTTCAGATTGAACTTTGTAAAAATCGTTGAAAGAAAAAAATGTTTTTGAGTTGGGTTTATTATTCTAGGAGGAGAACCTACTGATTATGTGTGTCCAATGTAATTGCCACAGATGCTGTCTCGCTCAAGTTGTACTTGACCAGGAACATTCCTTTAATGTTATGTGTGCATCCATGTCATTATGAAATAATTAGTTCAGGACACTTCATTTAGGACCAATTTGTGTATGAGCCACTCAACCCTACGTCACATCGCACAGCATACTGACTTGTGATGCCTGACTGGTGATTAATGATAGTTTCTTTCTCTTTTCCACACAGAGCTCAGGAATGGAGGAGACGGTTTGGGAGCAGTACACTGTGACTCTACAGCGGGTATGAAACTCTTTTACATTAGCTAACTTACTCAATACAGGCTTAAGAGTTACATGTTTAGAAATGTGTTGTAGAAGAGCGGCAGGGCTGTGAACCAGAAGTTTCGTGCTTGTAGCCAAAGAGGCCACAGAACACACGCTGCACAGATGGATGGCCCTCTTAACAAACAGACTAGAACCTCCTGCGGTACCCAGGCTAAACACTCTACCAGCCTCTCTAACACACAACAATATCTGAAACTCACCTACACTGATGTGCTGGATCTAGGATAATATAATCTTTAAGATTATGATTATATCTGAATATTAACAATGACCATGTTTACATCCACATTTGGTTTAGGCTTTACTCTGAAGAATGTTTTTTTACGTTTTTTATTCCAATATACACTACTGTTCAAAAGTTTGGAGAATGAAAGACGTCTCTTATCTTCAACAAGGATGTGTTTTTTTTACCTAAAATACAGTAATATTGTGAAATATTATTGCAATTTTAAATAACTGTTTTGTATTTTAATAGGTTTTAAAATGAAATTTATTTCTGTGATGCAAGGCTTTTGATGCAAGAGTTTTCAGCATCATTACTCCAGCATCAATGTCACATGATCCAGCAGAAACCATTCTAATATGCTGATTTGCTGCTCAAGAAACATTTCTAATTATTATCAATATTGCAAAACAGTTGTGCTGCTTTATTGTACTGTATATTATATATAGGCTCTATGTGGTGACATTTTTTTCCAGGATTCTTTAATGAAAAGAAAGTTCAAAAGAACTTATTTGAAATAGAAATCTTCTGTTACATTATAGTAGGGTTGTAAATCGGATGGTTCGTCACGATACGATACGATATCGATTCTCATACCCAGCGATACGATATTTGCGGATACTTCCAAAAATTCTACGATACGATTCAATACAGGAGAATATCGATCAATATATCGATATTATTATATTATATACCTATTTTAAACAACCATCTACATTTTTATTAACAACAGTTGTGCTGCTTTATTGTACTGTATATTATATATAGGCTCTATATGGTGACATTTTTTTTCCAGGATTCTTTAATGAAAAGAAAGTTCAAAAGAACTTATTTGAAATAGAAATCTACGATTACGATACGATACGATACGATATTGATTCTCATACCCAGCGATACGATATTTGCGGATACTTCCAAAAATTCTACGATACGATTCAATACAGGAGAATATCGATCGATATATCGATATTATTATATTATATACCTATTTTAAACAACCATCTACATTTTTATTAACTCACAAATGCAAGCAAAACATATAACATGAACTTTTATCTTCAATTTTCACATCCTGTTCCTCAATTTTGACATTCACTAAATACAAATGTCATATCGATGGATCGTTACACCCCTACATTATAGATGTCTTTACTGTCACTTTTGATCAATTTAATGCATCCTTACTGAATAAAAGTATTATTTTCTTAAATCTTACTGATTGCGGTACGACGAAGGCTGTCCCAATTCGAAGGCTCCTTCAAATGCAGCCTTTGAAGTCCGAGTCCTTCGAAGGATGTAGCCTTTGAATTGGGACACAGCTATGGTTGTCATTTTACCAACAACTCGTGCTTGTGTTTCCTTTGTACAAATGCTTCAGCCCATCAGAAGTTACCCCTCCCCCCTCTCTTCCCATCTTCTCCTTCTTTCCTCCTATTCTTTCTTCCTCCAACATCGAGCACAACAGGATGTGCATCTTTTATCTCGCACATGACAGAGAACTTATTTGAAATAGAAATCTACGATTACGATACGATACGATACGATATTGATTCTCATACCCAGCGATACGATATTTGCGGATACTTCCAAAAATTCTACGATACGATTCAATACAGGAGAATATCGATCAATATATCGATATTATTATATTATATACCTAATTTAAACAACCATCTACATTTTTATTAACTCACAAATGCAAGCAAAACATATAACATGAACATTTATCTTCAATTTTCACATCCTGTTCCTCAATTTTGACATTCACTAAATACAAATGTCATATCGATGGATCGTTACACCCCTACATTATAGATGTCTTTACTGTCACTTTTGATCAATTTAATGCATCCTTACTGAATAAAAGTATTATTTTCTTAAATCTTACTGATTGCGGTACGACGAAGGCTGTCCCAATTCGAAGGCTCCTTCAAATGCAGCCTTTGAAGTCCGAGTCCTTCGAAGGATGTAGCCTTTGAATTGGGACACAGCTATGGTTGTCATTTTACCAACAACTCGTGCTTGTGTTTCCTTTGTACAAATGCTTCAGCCCATCAGAAGTTACCCCTCCCCCCTCTCTTCCCATCTTCTCCTTCTTTCCTCCTATTCTTTCTTCCTCCAACATCGAGCACAACAGGATGTGCATCTTTTATCTCGCACATGACAGATCGCAAGGGTTCACACACGCTGTCCAAACACACTGACGCTATCACCACCATCTCCACATCAGACTCATCCTGGGAAGACATCTCAGCACTTTGGGATGTCAGATTGCTGAGTTAAGATAAGAATAGACTCATTTATCACTGCAATATAAAAGCAAGGATATAAGCTTTGGAAAGTTTTGGGGAAAAAGGGTACGTAGAAGTTTATGTGGCATATCATGATCTATATCACTACTGTGATATTCACTTACTCAGACCATAATATGGTTACCGCCCACCTTTAGAGTCACTGGCAGTCTGTTCAGCACCGTTCATACATTTTCACAGCCGATTCTGATTGACGATCCCAATTTTTTCATTAAGCAATAGATACGAAAAAATGAAAGGGTACATGAATAGGGCAAATGGGAATGCAAAAAATGAAATGACAATCCTACACGGAACTAAGGCTGAGTGATGCACCTAAAATTTGAAGTCTCGATATCTCTAAATTATGCAAGTATTTCACAAGCTAAGAACATAAGTCTATCAGTGTTTTCTTGTTTAAGAGAGGCTCTGTGCATGACACTATGTTCCCACTGGCATTAAAAACTCTTTCAAATGGGGAACTAGTTGCTGGAATGCATAAGCACTTCTTGGCTAGTTTTGCAGGAGGAGTAAAATTGCCTATTGGTGCCGACTTCGGCACATGAATCTTAATTTTCAGCAATATTCAGTTATCCTCGTCTGTTCATAACCATCAACACTTAAAATACTCATTGTCTGTTTTTGGGTGAAATGTCAGTTCAAAATTGTCATGCCAAACATCTTTGTAGTTCCTTCACAATTTGCAACAGTTTGTGAACTTAACGCCCTGTTTACAGACTTTGTAATATTTCCATACAGATGCCATTTTGGCCAGTGATTCCAATGAATTTTGTGTGCATTGGTGCACTTCCAGAGCACAGATCAGCCATAAATACCCTCAAAAAATTGAGGGCTGGTTGACCTGTCTCTAGATGAATCCCTCCAACACTGTAACACTCTGAAATCTCGGTTTTACTCGGTTCTGTCAGGTTTTATCTCTGGCTTTAATTGAGCCTGAATATATTTGGAGCAGATTGCATCAAGCCCGTGATACCCACTTATTAGACTCTATTTATTCAGCGTTCCTCTGAGGCAGGTACAGCAGGTTGTTATTTGGCCAAGCAATGAGGTGGAACCATGTCTCCATTAGCTTTGGTATGCAGTGGCTTTCTGCAAAACCGCACTGTGGCGGCACGCAGTCACAGTTTATGAAAGATTCATCATATAAGCGCATGAACGTGATTGTGTAACACTGCTGGCTATTTGTGCATTTCTATGAAGCGATATTAAACACTCCTGCTCTGGGCAGGCTGGCTGTGATATATGACTGAGGAAATGCATTAGTGGGGTTTTCACACTGAAAGCGATTTCTCTGTCTTTCTCTCGCAGGACTCTAAGATGGGCTTTGGAATTGCTGTGTCCGGGGGCCGGGACAATCCAAACGTGGAGACCGGAGAGACGTCCATCATTGTGTCAGACGTGCTGCCAGGAGGACCGGCCGATGGACTGCTCTTGTACGCTTCACTCACCTTACTAATGCATGCGTGTTTAGCATATTGGTAAACCATTATTTTACACCAGCTTAGGCAGGTTGATAAGTATTGGGTTTTCAAGTAGAGTTCTATAAAATGACATGAAATCAAATATTATCATGCTTACTGTCCTAATAAATGTCTTTGGCGTTATTGTGCATGTTTTATTAGTGCATGTTGTTGTAAAGTAATCAAGGCTGGGTAAAATTATATTATCTAATAATTAGGCTTGCTGCGATAGACGGTGTTGACGGTGATACCGGTGTTAAGCCGGTGTTAAGACGCAACAACGGTTACGTCACTTGCCCACGCGTCACCGACCCCCACCGTCGTTTTGATTTTTTATAGTAAATAGAGCATTGCAATCATGGCATGTTTTTGTAGGGCAACCCTGAAGTTTGCATTGTTAGTGAATCTTTAACATTTAACACAACTTTTTATGAATTTTGAAGCCTAAATACAATCATCTGCATTAAAAAGCTAACTGTAGGCTATAAACTAACATATAAAATAGCTGGTTTTGGCCTGCAAAAATATATTATCCCTGCAGGACTCTATATCAGAGCCTACTTTTTACATTCCAGTGTAATACTGGCTGATTCAATTAAGACCAGTCCTACATTATTTCCCACTGAATATTAATTTTCAGAAATGCATCATATACTACATTATGGAGGTGAAATGCATTGCAAATGCCAAGTGTTTCAGTATAATAATATAGCATGGAATGTCTCTGTTTTGTTGTAGACTTAACATTTGTTTTGTTTTGTTGTGGACAGTGAGAATGACCGCGTGATGCAGGTCAACACCATCACCATGGATAATGTGCCTCATTCATTTGCTGTGCAGTCACTTCGAAAATGTGGGAAAGTGGCCAAAGTGGCAAGTATTTGTCAAGTTGACCTTTACGAGAGACCTTCTAGAATAAGTTTACTTACTTTGGATATTAGTATAGGTTAACTTTTTTATATATATATGTACATACATACATGCATACATATATGAAATTAAGGTAATTGAAATTAAGCTGAAAAATATACATATTAGATGAAAAACTTACTGAAAATTACTTGGAAAAACTGAAACGGCAATGAAAGTTTTAACAACAAAAAAACTAATAAAATGACAAATTCACAAACTCACTGAAATTCACTGAAGAAACTAAAACTTAATTAAACTAAAATTAACACGAAACTGAAAATATACAAAACTATTAATAGTATATTATTATATAACTATTATATGTGACCCTGGACCACAAAACCAGTCATAAGGGTTAATTTTTTTTATTATTGAGATTTATACACCATCTCAAAGCTGAATAAATAAGCTTTCCATTGATGTATGGTTTGTTAGGATTGGACAATATTTGAAATATATTTTAATATTTGAAAATCTGGAATCTGAGGGTGCAAAAAAATCTAAATACTGAGAAAATTGCCTTTAAAGTTGTCCGAATGAAGTTCTTAGCAATGCATATTACTAATCAAAAATTAAGTTTTGATATATTTACAGTAGGAAATTTACAAAATATCTTTATGGAACATGATCTTTACTTAATGTCCTAATGATTTTTGGCATAAAAGAAAAATCAATAATTTTGACCCATACAGTGTATTTTTGGCTATTGCTACAAATATACCCGTGCTACTTAAGACTGGTTTTGTGGTCCAGGGTCACATATAGTATATTTATGATAAATGTCTACTGTTAGATATGGTCCTTTTGATAACAGTGGGCTGAATGTATAAAGACTAATTGTATTCATCGCTCCCCACAGACTGTAAAGAGGCCTCGCAAGGTGGCTGTCCTCAAGCGCCCACCGTCCCCGAGCGGGGATAGCCGCGATTACAACATATCCAGCTATTATCCCGAGGACAACCGCAGCGTTCACAGTGACCCAGACTCTGATTACCCTCGGGGAAACGGCGGCCTGGGCTACCCCCGCGACAGAGAGCATGACCGCAGTCTCGAAAAGAGCCGGATAGACTACCTGGAGCCGGATTACCGCAGCCAGGACAACGACTCCCGGCGGGAAAGGAGCAGAGGCAGGAGCGCGGAGAGGTCGCCCAGCTCTGACAGCGGCTACCGCAGGGACGGCAGCCGGGGCCGGACGCTGGAGCACGGATCCAGCCCGGAGCCTCGCTATCACAGGCAGCACAGTAGAGGCCGCGGCGGAGGAGGAAGCCCTGCCGGAAGCTACGGGAGGGACCAGGGCTACGACACGCGGAGGTATGACACTCGTCCGGATGACAGGATGATCAGGAGTCACAGCAGGGACCGGCTGCAGGATCGCTCACCGTCACCCAGCAAAGAGAAAGACAGAGGAAGAGACCGGTACAACTATGAGCCCCTGGAGCTGCCCATCAATGTCATGCTGGTGAAAAACAGGCCCAATGAAGGTGAGAGTTGCAGGATTACCTTGTCACTAATAGCATATTTGAAATATATATTAGTGATTGAAAAATGATTAAAACAGTTTAGAAGGGTCGTATTGTTCATTTTTTTTATTACTTTATTTTTATTACTGTTTTCTTTCCTCTGAGGTCCAAGGTTTCTTGCACCCTTTCCAGAACCTTTGATTTAATTTAATTTAATTACTATTTTGATGGCAATCTTATTGCCTTATCCATATAAATTAGATTTCTTGACAGCCAAATGTAAATATCTCACTCCCAATAGCAAGTTTATAATTTATGGGCGTTATTACAGGAAAGACTTGATACAGGAAAGTTGAATCAATGTTTATGACAAACATTTTCTCATGCAAATGAGCTTTGTGACAATTGTTTGTGGAAAATTTCTCAGCAAGCAGTTGAATGTTTTTTTTTTTTTTCCGTTTTTTTTAGATATAAAATTTAAGGATGTGTGATTAATCTAATTAAAAGTGCAAAATGGCAGCATTACACTATAAAAACATTAATGAATACACAACCATTCCAAAGTTTAGGGTTCGTAATTTTTTTTAAAGAAATTAAAGGGGTCATATGATGCTGCTAAAAAGAACATTATTTTGTGTATTTGGTGTAATGAAATGTGTTTATGCGGTTTAAAGTTAAAAAAACACATTATTTTCCACATACTGTACATTATTGTTTCTCCTCTATGCCCCGCCTTTTTGAGAATATCTCTTTGGATTTGAGACTTTAGCCTTTGCAACTTTACAGATCTTCTTTATGCACCAAGAGCTTGTAACACTCCAAAGAGAAAGGAAAAATTGAAATCGCATCATATGACCCCTTTAATACTTTTACAGTATTCAGCGAGGATGCATTAAATTGATCAAAAGTGACATTTATAATGTTACAAAAATGTTTATTTCAAGTAAATGTTGAACTTTTACACTTTGTATTCATCACAGAATCCTAAAAAAAATTATCACTGTTTCCACAAAAATTTTAAGCAGCACTACTGTTTTCAACTTAGATAATAAAATTTTTTTCTTGATCAGCATATTGGAATGATTTCTGAAGGATCATGTGACACTGAAGTAATGGCTGCTGACATCAGCTTTGACGTCAGGAATAAATTACCTTTTGAAATATATTGAAATAGAAAAAAGTTATTTTAAATTGTAATAACATTTCAAAATATTCCACATTTTTTTAATCAAATAAATGCAGCTTCTTTCAAAAAAAAAAAAAATTCTTAAATATTCTTTTGTATATAGTCTTCAGTAAAGGTCTGCTGCTCTTTAAGGTCCTGTATAGTTTGTGATAGCCCATCCTTCAGTAACAGCCTCTTTCTGAAGCTGCATTATATTCTGACTGGGTTACTAAACAGTCCATGCTAAAATGTGCTGCACAACCGTTAAGATCAAACTGAAATGAGCAGGGACCTAAAAATAATCTTAAACCATTTGTTTCAAACGTTGTCATCTCTTAGAAGAATATGCAAAGCATAGCTAGGAACTTTTGTTGGACATTACAGCATACTCCCATATTATGTACATCTATCATTTTTATCTCAAAAGTGTAATTATGACTTGATTTGACCCCTTTACAGAAGCAGAGCTTTTATTCCTGCAGTATTATGCTGTGGAAATAATACACAACGTAAAAAGACCATCTGATCTTTTTCCCATTTCTTTTTTCACTCTCTCTCATGTCCTTTCACGCTGTTTTCTTTGGAGCTCCACACATCCATCCTAAGACAGTTTGTCCTCCTTGGATTTTGATGATATTTAAATCTGATTTATTTATGATGGCCTTGTCAGATTTCAGTAAACATATATTCTTGTGACTTCACATGAAGCGGCCCGTCTCTTCCAATTTCCTCACCAGCCCTTCATAACCCACAGCCCAGAAAGCCAAAGCGGGTAGCGCTGTTTATTACCATAATTTTCTTGCCTAGAGTTGTGAAATGAGAACCAGCTGTTTTTTTAGAACTGGCTTTAGTTTTTAGAACAATATTGGAACTGAAAGCGTTTCATCATGTTCAGTTCTGTAAGTGGTTCTTGTACGTTCAGCAGAGAGCTGTGATTCTGCCCATCAGATCAATACTCCACATTTTCAGTTTCCATTTAAATTGTTTGTGGTGTTTGACCCATTCAGCCGGCCACTAAACTAACAGATGGAGGGATGGCTGTGTATTTAAAAGGGTCAAGGTCATCATGGTTGTTAGGTTCATGTTAGGATCATGTTAGCGTTGCTGCGTAGAACCAATGTTTCATTCTGACTTGTTGTAGAGTACGGCCTCCGGCTGGGCAGCCAGATCTTCATCAAAGAGATGACCAGCACTGGATTGGCTGCCAGAGATGGAAATCTCCAGGAGGGCGACATCATTCTTAAGGTACCTATCAGACTCTTCACACAATAGCTGTTAGTAATGTTCACGCATTAAATCTGTTAAATTGTCATAAAATCACTGTGGCTTTCTGTGTTCTATACATGTTCACTAATGGTCGACTGATGTGGCTGATGACAATATCTAGTGCACTTTTAAGACTAATTTTTGTTAAATGAAATACAGCTGAAATAAAAAAACTATAAAATATTAGAAAAAATATAAAAGTCTAGAAAAAATACAAATGTAAATGTTATATATAAATAACAGAAAATATATATAAACGTTATATATTTATTAAATAAATATTAGATTAAAAGGCTTAAACTTAAATGCATATTAGAAATCTTGCCTTGACAACTAAAGTTAAAGTACTAAATTAGTAAAACTAAAACTGAAATAGAAAAAAAATTAACTGCTGAAAATAAAATTCTAAATATTAATAAATACTATAATGGCATATAATAAACAAAATAAAGCTGTATAGACTAGGGATGTTCATTTTAACCGGTTAACCTACCATAAGAATTGACCAAATTAATACAATCAGTTAAACGGTTTAAAAGGTAATTTAATTATTTATTTTTTCAGTAATTTATCAAAATATTTAAAAAGGTTTGCTGCATGGTTAAAATACCTAAAACTGAAATAGAAAAAAATTAACTGCTGAAAATAAAATAAAATTCTAAATATTAATAAATACTATAATGGCATATAATAAACAAAATAAAGCTGTATAGACTAGGGATGTTCATTTTAACCGGTTAACCTACCATAAGAATTGACCAAATTAATACAATCAGTTAAACGGTTTAAAAGGTAATTTAATTATTTATTTTTTCAGTAATTTATCAAAATATTTAAAAAGGTTTGCTGCATGGTTAAAATACATATAAAAAAAATTGTTTTTTAGGGGGAAAAACATAAGTCGCGAATAAGTCGCATTTTATTATTTCATTCAGAAATAGGCCTAATGCCGACGCAAAATGTTTACAAACATTATAATAAACACTGTAAACATAGCTAGGCTATTTTAGTTCCCCTCACTCCAATTATTTATTATGTACTTCACTCGCATTCCAATATGCACGTAAAACAAAATGTTTTGCATAACATCACGGCGGTACTGTGATAACACTTAATGGCACAGATTTTACTACATATTTTTACATGTTACATATTAGCAAATACAGTATCGGGGAAGTAATCAATAATTACAATTTATTTTGTACTAATCACAGAAAATAACGATTTATCAGTATTTAATATATGTATATATCCATCAACCGTTCACACAACTCCACTCAAACTCCTTAACATCAGACTTAAACCAGTAATGATATGTCTCTGTCTCTGTTTTTTTCTAGATCAACGGGACGGTGACTGAGAACCTCTCTCTGAGTGACGCCGGCAAGCTGATTGAGAAATCACGGGGCAAGCTGCAACTGGTGGTCCAGAGAGACCACCGACAGATCCTGGTGCGCATTCCTGCCCTGGCAGACAGCGACTCTGAGCCTGACGGTAAGCTCCTCCTATCACACTGCATTTGTTCATAGACAGCGTTTCCTGAGCCGTGCTGCTCACCCTCTGGCTGTTTGCTCTCCAACACCACACTTTAATTAAAAGCAGGTAGCGTGAATTGGCTCGGATAAATCAGATTAGTAATATCACGTACACATTCGCTAGGCGCTGAGGCTGTAATAAATTACCGTTAGTTATGTGAATCACTATTAATAGACTCGATATGAGTATTGAAGCACAAAACCCAATTTGTCACTGTCTGTATCAGAGCAGGGTTATCATCCAGTGGCATAATTTCAACTATATGCCATGGATTTAATGAGTCTGGTCCTCTATAGAGGTGAAGCAGTGTTAATGCAGTTGGACACGGGTAATAAAACTTCCTCTGGCTGTATAGTTACAGTATAGATTGATAGTATATTTAACAGGAACACGTAGTCATTTAGAAATTACAAGACTGTATTGTCAGATACAGACTGGCTTTTTAGCAAAGAGCTGAGATTTACAGCCCCCATTTATATCTGCTATTAACATCCGTCTCGGGTGATCTGCCCACTAGTGGACCACATCAGAGACAGTATAGTGGGACAAACCATTTATAGAAAAACCAATGGGAGGAATCGCAACACTCAATATAGCAGCTGTGTTTAAAAAAAGTCTTACTTTTCAGTTAAAAGATCCAGTTACATTTTTGATAGTGGCACATATTTTTTATTCCAGACAATGCATACAATTTTAAAATCTTTTTTTGAAACTTCAATTGATAGATGCAGTTTTTAATGAAAATGTCAGTCAGATCAAAAAGCAGAAGCCATAATATATTACAATTCACATCATCTAAATTTATTCAAATAGTATAAATTCAAATACATTAAAAATTTGTTTATTTTGTTATTTTTTTTAATAATATTTTTATTATATTATGTTATATTATATTAAAATATTTATTATTATTATTATATAATATATATGTTTAATTTTCAAATATTTTTTAAACAATGTAAATAAAAAAATTATGAAAATAAATAAACGAATTAAATGTAAATTGATTTAAATAAAAAAGTTCCATTTTAATTTTAATTGTAGTTAAATCATTGTATTTTTTCTCATTTTTACTAGTTTTTATGTATGTTTATATAGTTTTGTTGCTTTTTACTTAAGTTTTAGTTATTTTGGCTCATAAAGTTAAACTAACTTTAAAATGAGAAATGTAGCTGGAATAAAGTTTTTTTTTTTTTTTTTAGTCTTTTAAGCCCACCAAGGATGCATTTATTCATAAATTCAAATACATTAAAAATTTGTTTATTTTGTTATTTTTTTTAATAATATTTTTATTATATTATGTTATATTATATTAAAATATTTATTATTATTATTATATAATATATATGATTAATTTTGAAATATTTTTTAAACAATGTAAATAAAAAAATTATGAAAATAAATAAACGAAATAAATGTAAATTGATTTAAATAAAAAAGTTCCGTTTTAATTTTAATTTTAATTGTAGTTAAATCATTGTATTTTTTCTCATTTTTACTAGTTTTTATGTATGTTTATATAGTTTTGTTGCTTTTTACTTAAGTTTTAGTTATTTTGGCTCATAAAGTTAAACTCAAATTAAAATGAGAAATGTAGCTGGAATAAAGTTTTTTTTTTTTTTTTTGTTTTTTTTTTTTTTTCAGTTCACATTTTTTATTTCAAGCAATAAATGCTTTTTATGGTTTTAGTTTCAGTTTTAGCTAACTATAATATACTCATTTTTTTATTCATGTATTTAATTTATTCTAATTGTTTTGAAAAATACATGGACATATATGGATGTTAATAGCAGGGACCTTAACCCTGCTATCAGATACATAGACACCATTGTTTACACTTGAATATTTTAACACCAGAAAGATGCGCTTAAATGAGTAAAAGCAAACCGCATGCTTACAACAGAAATGCTATTTTTGTGTTCTCTTTTTACAGATAATACAGATATGTCATACTTTTAGCTGACGGACTGCAGAGACACAACATAAAGTCTGGTTGCCTTTAATCTTTAATCATGACTGTTCCTCAACAAACCTGTAAAACTTTCACACTGTGCTCTTATATTTTGATGCTAACCTTTTTTAATACCTTCTTTAATCAATAAATAAGTCTACTCAATGTTATGTCTGTGTGGTGGTGACTTATTTAATCTTGGCAGAGAAACTCCGTCTGGAAGGGTGTCACAGTCTCTCAGATGCTATTTCATACTCTTCAGCTGTTGTTAGGGTGGGACAGCTGGATATCGTATGGCTTTTTCAGATCTACCATCCTCGAGGTGTTAAATGCGGGTGGAAAGAAGTACATTTCAGTACAGAAAAAGCATCCGCTTGTCGAGTGGGGCTGGGCGGTACAGCTTCATGCATTAAAACTTTATGTATATATTCAACGGCGTTGGAAAATGAGTCACCGTAGGCATTGTGTGCGGTTGGAGAAGTAGAATCAAGATGTGATTTACACATCTGCCATAAAAATGCAGCACGTACTGTTCATTGCCTCGTACGCGCCATTCTGCACTACTTGTCATTTTGACTAGATAATGTGATAGCCGGCTTTCAGCCATTTCTTCATTCTTCATTGTATTCAAGAAGCCGTGACTTTGCTAGCGTAACGTGCTTGGATAGGTTGAACCGTGATGCTCAAGGCTTACTGTTGGAAATCAGCGCTGTCCCTTGTGTCTTTATCCTCATTTATTTGGCATTCACTCCAGTATGTTCATGTCTTTCATAGTTCTATGGAAATTCAGGTGATTGCGTCTAAAGACAACATGCATTCACAACACATTTAACTTCCGTAATGCAACATATTTATGTGTAAAACAGTATATTGAATGTAGGGTGGGTGTGCGGTGTTGGATTTGATGCGATTGCTATGAAGTATACTATGCTATTTAAGTAATAAAAATGTGGTTTCTTTTAAGGAAATAAAATAAGACCAGGGATATGCGTTATAAAAATGAATAGGTCAATTCTGATTTGATGTTGTCTTTTAAACACACTGTATGTGGCATATTTATTCTTTAGTCACTACTTAATCGGAGCGAAATAAGGAATATTCACAATATATATCAATATTATTATACCAGTACATTTTTTAATAATGCTTTTAATGTGTTTTTGACTAATAATTTTTCTTAAGTCTCCATTTGTTGGTGTGATGAAAAAAATTATTTAGATTTTCCTTTATATTTAATATTAAATATAATTACTAAGTAATTAGTATTAGTATTACGGTATCTTAGTATTTATGTATTTGTTGAATTTAATGTTATATTTATGTAATGTTAAAATATGTAATAGTTTTATTGTGTGTGTGTGTGTGTTAATTTTTTACAATAATTTTTTTCATGAAACTTCCCTTCTTTCAAATTATTTTTTATTTATGTATTCTTTTTTTATGTAATTTATCTGGGGGAAAGGTGAAATTTAAAGCAAATACACACATATTGAGATGTCGGATGATCTTTTGTGTGTGTGTGTGTGTGAGTGTGTGTGTGTGTGTGTGTGTGTGTGAGTGTGTGAGTGAGTGAGTGAGTGTCATACTCTGTCATTCTCTTCATTATGTTGCTTGTGTGTGTGTTGTCCCAGTAGCTCTGTGAACTAAATCAGTGATGGTGTTTGTAGCTGAAGCAGAGGTGCTGGCCATGCTGTTTTGGGTTGTATTCAGGGAATGTACACACAGCTGTCTCTTCTCTGTGGTTTGTCCTCCCCCTCCTAAGAGACAGACTGTAATTTCATCCCCACCCAACAGATGGAAACACACCTCTCTCCCCCACAGCCTGGAAAACACCAGCTCCCTGCTCCTCCCTGATACTCCTCAGACACTACATTTACATGCAGCCTAATAATCCATAAATAATCTGACTGATAGCCTAAGCAAAATGAAAAGCCTTTTAGTAAACGGTTAGAGAAAAAGATAAAATTCCTTCATCTAAATAAATTAAGGATTTTCTTCTGATTTTCCTTTTAAATGAATTTAGCAACATGAGAAAAAAGCTTTCTTGGGATCATTTTAGAAAAGCAAACATTCCAGTTACGCACTGAAGTGATGCTGAATCTTCTTTACAGGACTTACAAGCTTCTTGCTATTATGATATCATAACACTTAATGCCGCTCTTGCACGACATGCTCAGAAATTTAGTTCAGAATAGATTTGTGACCCTGGACCACAAAACCAGTCTTAAGTAGCACGGATATATTTCTAGCAACAGCCAAAAACACATTGTATGGGTCAAAATTATTGATTTTTATTTTATGCCAAAAATCATTAGGATATTAAGTAAAGATCATGTTCCATGAAGATATTTTGTAAATTTCCTACCGTAAAATATATCAAAACTTAATTTTTGATTAGTAATGTGCATTGCTGAGAACTTCATTTGGACAACTTTAAATGTGATTTTTCTCAATATTTAGATTTTTTTGCACCCTCAGATTCCAGATTTTCAAATAGTTGTATCTCGTCCAAATATTGCCCTATCCTAACAAACCATACATCAATGGAAAGCTTATTTATTCAGCTTTCAGATGATGTATAAATCTCAATTTAAAAAAATTGACCCTTAAGACTGGTTTTGTGGTCCTGGGTCACATTTATCACGTGTAGTAAACAGATGTTTTCATTATATTGCAGATTTTAGGGTGCATATAAACATAGATATGGAATCTGCAGTTAGATGGAATTTAATTTGGAGCAAGGGAAATTTGTGCATGTTAACATAAAGGATAAAAGTCTTCTGTTTTGCATTGTCTTATTTAATGCATTTTTTAAAAATTATTTATATTTTAAATAGTGCAGAATTCTATATTCTATAATTATTTTATCATATATATCATCACTATATATATGTATTTATTTATTTGATTTAATGTTGAATTAAATTTTTAAAAAATCCTTCAAATCAAATAAGATCTAAACAATTAAACATGCATCACTTATAGATTTCTCCCCCGAGTCAAAAATGTTACCAATTTTGTGCATTATATTCTGTTATGCTCACAGCACTGTCTGCAGTATTTATCTGTGTTTACTCTGTTAGCTCTGAGCATTAAGCCCCCCGAACTCTGAAGCAGGTGGGCGGCAGTGTCCTTTTGCTCTATTATGGATTGAGTGTGTTGTAGATTTGAAGGACAGTTGTGGGGTTCCGCCCACCAGCGGCCATGCACTGGACATGCACTTAGATCACCAGCAGACCACACAGTAACTCTTTTCTTCCTCCCCGGCCGTCACTACTTCTGTCCTGCTTTCTCTTTCAGGGAGATACTTAATTTTCCTTGCTCTGCTTCTTGTTGGTTTTACTTGTAATCAAATAATTCCCAACTATCCTGGACAAAGTAGAGCTCTAGAATGGGAAATTAAAGGAATAGTTCACCCTCATGTTGTTACAAAACCTGTGATACTCTCTTTTGTGTAGCAAAAATTATAATATTTAGGAGAACGTTCATGCAGATATTTTCTATAGGACATGACACAAAAGCATAATAAAAGTAGTAAATATATATGAGCTGCTAACTCAAGAAATGCTGAAATTGAATCATTGATTCACTGAGTTGAACTGGAGAATGTCTGATTCAAGAGTAAGTCATTCTTTTCAAAAGGAACAGTTTACAAATCAGACTCCATGATTCATTCACAAATCAGACTGATTCGGTTCTCAGCTGTTTGACTGACTCAGTGAATGCAATGATTCTTGATTTAACTGCTCCAAAATAAATCGGTGAAGACTTCTTCAAAATCTTCTCATTTCAAATGTTTCTTTTGAGTCGATTCTTTCAAGGTGAACTGGTCAAAATAGTCTACAAATCAGACTGCATGATTCGTTCATGAATCATACTGATCACATCCTCGGTTGTTTTACTGACTCAGTGAATCCAATGTTTTTTGGTTTAAAAATTAATCGGTAAAGTCTTCAGATTCTTCCAATTTTATGTTTCACAGAAGGAAAAAGTCAGACAGGTTTGGAATGACATGAGGGTGAGTAATGGTGACCAATTTTCCTTTTTGTTTTTGGTGAACTATTCCTTTAACTATCAATATAGTGTCAATGTATGCAAGCACTAGCTGCTTTTGCACACATCTCTGCTTTCCAAGACAGTTTCTATAGATGTCACTTCCGTCTGTTCTTTTTCTCTGCCTCTCTCAGGGTGTTCTGTTCCTAAAGATTAATCACACCTGTCCGACAAACCTTCTGCCTCTGTATAACGCTGCTATTAGTCTCTCCACGACAGCTTTATGAAATTCTGGGCATTTGAGTCACATAGGCATTGTAAATCTCCACGATTTGGGTTGTGTCTTTGGTCAAAAAGGCATGGATATGCTGTGGTCAAATAAAACCACAGTATATACAGTATAAGCAGAAGTGATAGTTATAACGGGGCAGATCTTGGCCAATTAACACCAAGTCGACAGTAACACGGTGGTCTGTTTTCTGTGGTTGTGGGTCCATTTAATTCTGTCTCTTCTGGGCCTCGTCTCTTTCTTGTCCTAGGAGTTGAAGGAAAGTCCATTGCTTCTCATTGTAGACTTTTGTTTCTTTCAGATATTTCGGAGATTGAGTCGTACCATTCCTACTCACCTCAAGATGACCAAAGGTCACGCCAGTCTGACCTCTCCTCACACTCTTCCAATGATGTAGCACGAGAGAACGCCAGGTGAGGACCGCTTGAAGATCAGCTCCTGATATGTTCAACACATAATAATAATAACAATAATAATACAATGGCTCCAAAAAAGTCTTTGGACATTTAAATGGATAGTTCACCAAAAAAATGGAAATTGTCTACACAAAAGTGTGTTTTGTCCATGCAGTGAAAGTCAGTGTAGTCCAGTGTTTGGAAACCAATGATCTGTATGAATATTTTTGCATTAAATAACAAAACATCAAACTAAGTGATACTTAAAGAAAACAGTACACACCTTCCAGTTAGAATGTTTTACAAATATATTCTCAGTCAGAAACTGTGTTAGAAATACACTGTTGTTGTATTTTCAGGGAGGATCCTCAAAGTAGATTGGCAAAGACCGCTGTTTCATCCTCTCCTTACAAAACTCCAGAGGAGCCACTTCCAGCCCAGGAGGAGAGAGTAGAACCACAGGAAGAAGAACCACCACGTAAGAACAAGATTCTGTTTACCTTGTAGTTTGATAGTAGATAAAGACCCAAACATCTGGTTTATTGTTGAAGCAGATGATTGGCAATGCTTGTCAAACACGAAATGAGAGTAAAAATCGGCTTTGCTGACTAATTAAATCAGAAAAGAAGTTGACCAGAAACTTTAGTAGAAACGGCAACATTACATAGGTTAAAAATCCTCACTGATGTTAGTGAATTAAAATGAAAATTACCAAAAACAAAAAATCTACAAAAGAAAACATCTGTAATGACTTTTACCTCATTGGAACATTTGCCATCAAGTCTATGTAGGATCCCCAAATTTGTCACTAAAACTGTCAGTGCTAAAGAAAAAAAACGGTTACATAATTCCATTGTCACAGAACAGATTAATTTATATTGCTCATTTGAAGAGGATGATCTTTTCCATCTATATTCGAATGCGTGTAAAGTACAAGCCTAGTTTACATTATAAATAATAGTAACATTTGAAAGTTTGGGGTTGGTAAGATTTTTATATTTTTTCTGAAAGTCTCTTGTGCTCACAAAGGTTGCATTTATTTGATAAAAAAATGCAGTAATATTGTGAAAAATTATTATAATTTAAAATATCTGTATCATATTTTAAAATGTAATATATTCCTGTGATCATTTATTCAGTGTCACACGATCCTTCAGAAATCATTTTCTGCCCAAAAAACATTTATTATTATCAATGTTGAAAACAGTTGTGCTGCTAATTATTTTATTTTTTTTGTGGAAACTGATACATTTTCTTTTGTCACATAAATGTATTTACTGTTGCTTTTGATCAATGTAATGCATCCTTGCTGAATAAATAAGTTATTTTATTTTATTTTTTAAGATTTATTTTTGGCATATTTGCCTTTATTATTATAGGACAGTGTAGAGATGACAGGAAGCGAAGTGGGAGAGAGATGGGGTTGGGATCGGGAAAGGTTCTCGAGCCGGATTTGAACTCGGGTCGCCCGTGGCACAACAGCACTATTTGTCGGCACACTGCCCACGAGGCAGAATTTCTTTTAAAAAAAAAAAACACTTGCTGACTCCAAACATTTGATCAGTATATTTCTTTGTTAACTTGCCTTTGGGATGTGTGATTAAAAGAAAATGTGTCTGCTTTCAGTTGTTTCAGAATGAAACTGATGTTAGATCCTTTTTTTATTCAATGTGCAGCAGCAATAAAGACAACACCCAAGATCCTGCTCAGACCGAGCCCAGAGGACGAGGCCATTTATGGGTGAGTGGATGCTGTTAATATCCCGCAGGTTCAGCCCTCCTCACACATGATCCTATTCACTGAACTAAGATCTTATTCACTAACTAAACCTGAGGACTCACTGAGGGCTGAGTTACGATCTGGAGACAGGGCTCATCACACACACTTTGTTTTTTAAATGAATAGTTCACCTAAAAAAACAAAACAAAAAAAGTAATTATTTGCTCACCCTCATGTTTCAAAACATGAGCATGAGTAAATAATGACAGAATTTTGATTTGGTGGTGAACTGTCTGTTTAATGGGATGTGTTTAATAGGATGAGCGCACAAGAAGTGAAATAGAGATAGAGAGAGGTGGAGGGTCATCTGCATCACAGCCTCACAGACGGGCTGGATACCTCTGCAATCCCTCTCTCTCTCTCTCTCTCTCTCTCTCTCTCTCTCTCTCTCTCTCTCTAAATCATCCTCTCCGTCAGCTCCTCCATATTCATGAGGAAGAGGCAGTCTGCTGCTGCTCGTATCCACTGGGAGAGGTTATTTTTGTGTCCTGCTCTTGCTTTACAGAGCCGCTTTGTTTTAAGACCAGAGCTCCAGTGTGTTTTTACTTGAGCACAGGACGAGAGAGCTGCTTTCAGCTGGAGAGCAGGGAAACCCTGCTGAAAAATCACAATCCATGATGATGCATTTGGCTGGAAAGGATAAATAGAAATGGGACAGAAAAAAATCTATTTTTTAAGCCTGTTTTTCTCCAGATATATTATATGGGAGTCATTTTTTAAAGTGGGTTTGTTGCATTTTGGAAAATAATATTTTCTGAAATTAACCTTTTTATTAGACAAAATTATTAGCAATTAAAGTATGACTTACTTGCTAATAATTAGCACTGTATCATCCAGGATTATTATAGTAAACAAAAACTGATATATAAACTGAAATATTAAAATAACTTAAACTTATTTTATTATAGTTACTTTTTTCCCCCATTTAGTTTAACTTAAGTACTAAAATAACTAAATAAGTTCAAACTAATAAATCAAAGATAGACTTAAAAAATATATAAAAAAGGACAAAAACACATGGCAAAATTACTAAAACTTTAACTAAAATTAATTTTAAATCTTGAAAATGTGAAAATAAAATCTAATTCAAAATACCATTTCAAGCTAAGCTAATAAAAATTAATATTTTGAGTCTGATGGGAAATGGCAGCATTATGACTTTGCTATAATTCCTATAAATATAAATATGAATACATTTCCGATAAATTATCCTATTTTAATGAGTTTATTTAAATTCAATATTTAATTTAAAATTTATTCTATATTTATATGCACACATTATGCAATGGTATATTTAAAAATTATATATATATATATATATATATATATACAGTATCTCACAGAAGTGAGTACACCCCTCACATTTTTGTAAATATTTTATTATATCTGTTTCATAGTTTTAAACATATTTATTTATTTATTTTTATTTGATTTTTATACATTTATGGATTTGTTACTTTTTAAAGAATCTTTTGAAGATTTGGCAGAATTTTAATTATAATGTATTTATTTTTTTATATTTACAGCAAGATTTTTATTGTAATTATGTATTTTATTTATTGGTATATTTATATATTATTTTAACTATTTATTTTATTATGTTTATTTTTATCAATTTTTGCATTTACATAACCTTTTGAATTTTATTATATTTAATTTATTTTTTTCTTCCTTTTTATCTATTTAATTTTTTTTATTATTTATTTAAAGCCTTATTTATTTAATCATTTTTTTTTATTTATTTTTTTATAATAATAGCACTATTAATTTTAGTCCTGTTTCACATCTCGGTCTCAGCCTTCTGATGCATATTGCACACAAAATTTAAATGCATTTTCAGTTGACCACATTGACAAAACATTGACATTGCTTGCATCATGCTCTACCAGTTAAGCCTGATACATGTTTGGGAGCTTATGTTTCTGTTTTGTGTCCTAGTTTATGAAGACATCTTGGTGTCTATGAGCCATTTAAATTAAGCGTCCTTGCCAAAATAAATGATTAATTTCTTCTTTTTTGTAAATCTTACTGCAAACTTTTGAAAGGTAGTGTACCACAATTTAAATATTATAGCAAAAGCTGCTTTAAACTGATAATAATAAGATAATAATTTGATAATAAAATAGCAAGATAATTCTTTTGACAACATTAAAAAGTCTTAATTATTCCAAACCTTCGACTGGTAGTGTGTGTGTGTGTGTGTGTGTGCACTGGTTTGGGTGGTTCATGGGGACACAAATTTGTATAATGACATGGGTATGACAGAGGTATTACAATATGAAGGTGTTTATGAGGACACTGCCTATGTCCCCGTAATTCAAAAGGCTTAAAAAACATACTAAATTATGTTTTTTTGAAAATCTAAAAATGCACAAAGTTTTCTGTAAGGGGTAGGTTTATGTGTAGGATTGGTGTAGCGCGATAGAAAATGCACCACCAATACCAACATGTGTGTAATCACAAAGCAGCCAAAAAAAGAAACTATAAGGTAAATACATCACAAACTACTGATGCAATGGATGGCAAACATCGTAATTTACTTATCATGGTACCTGTATCATTTACACAATAAACAGTTTCAATAACGCGATGGCTGCTTGCACACAACATTAGTCACATCTCTGAGCAGACCGGCCTAATACCGCTAATGAAAGTCTCTGCATACCCACACAGACAGCTGAGAAATTTTTAATACGTTTGAAAAATGGGTTCATCATCACAGAGAGAGATTGCTCCCTACACACTGTTCAAGAAAAATTGCCCAATAAAATCATCATGATTTATGTGACAAAAACCACAGTCAAGAATTTGAAAAAGGCTGTTTTGAATCATCAGTCAAGACTCTTCTTTAATCCTCTTTAAACCCTTTTTACATAGCTTAAAGAGCATTTATTACCATTAATATAAACCATTTTGTAATAACTTCTGCTTTGAAATCCTGATTGTAAGCCTTGTCTTCTCCCATAGCGGGATTCCGAAGGCCGGTTGTGCTGTTTGGACCAATCGCTGATGCTGCCTGTGAAAAACTGGCCGAGGAGCTTCCAGACGAGTTTGTAATTGCCAGTGAGTTGATGCTGCTGTCTCTGCCATTTCATCAATAATGTCCGAAGGGATGCTCACACTTGGATTTTAAGCATGCAAAATGGTTTTAGACTCTGTAATTAATATTATCAAGACAATATGATGTCATGCTATTCATTTTATAAAAATATAAAAAATTTAATTTTACATGAATAAATAATATATAATTATATAAATAATATAACAATATATGAATTAAAGTTTGCATATTTTAAACTCGTAGTCATGTGAATGAGAGTTTCAGACAGCCAAGTTAACGTTTTTGCTATACAAAAAACATCTGCAAAATTAATAAATGTAGAGGTGGAGCACATTTTTTACATTTTCAAAATTATTCTAATAATAATTATAATCATAATAATGCATATTATTGCTTTCATATAAAAGGTATTTTATAGTGCTGTCAAACGATTAATTTTAAATAAAATAAAAAGTTTTACATAATATATGTATGTGTGCTGTGTAATTTATTATGTATATATAAATACACGCACATGCATGTATATATTTCAGAAAAATATGTTATCTTGCATACCTGCTTTTCCATGTTCAAAAACATTCCATGCATATGAATAGGGGCGAATGGATGATAAAGTCTATAGTGTAATAGCATCCAGAGCTTTAGCTAACATTGAATAAAAATTTATCTTTTTTATTGCATTGTACATGTTTAGTAAGTATTCTTATTTGTAGTTTGATTATGCGTATTGTTTTTGTTCAATGGCACATCAGAAACAGAACCCAAAGATGCGGGGTCAGAGAAATCCTCTGGGGTGGTTCGTCTCAACACTATTCGACAGATCATTGAACAGGTAATTGTGTATGCACACAAATTGATAATCAAAACTTATTGCATTCTTTTGTTTGACATAAATGTTTGTACATTTTACCAGTATTGAAGTGACCAATTCTGTAATTGATGCAGGACAAGCACGCTCTCCTGGACGTCACCCCTAAAGCAGTGGACACCCTAAACTACACGCAGTGGTACCCCATAGTCATCCTCTTCAGCCCGGACAGCAAACATGGGGTGAAGGCGATGAGACAGAGGATCATCCCCAGCTCTAACCGCAGTGCCCGCAAACTCCACGACCAGGCTCTGAAGCTCAGGAAAACCTGCTCACACCTGTTTACCGGTCAGTCCTGGGGGTCCAGACACCTCCTTATCTTCTCAACCCTATATTGTTCTCGATCATTAAAGTCTAAATTCACATTATTTGATTGTTTGCTCATTTTAATTAAAGATCCTAGCATTATAGAAGCATGTTTTGCTTGGGTAGCTTGTACATTTTTTTTAGAAAATGTAAAAATAGATTATAAAATGATTCTGTTAATTAAAATGCTTATACACTGAATTGTAGGGAAGTGCAGTAAAGAGAAGCTATCGTGATTGGCACATATCAATATAAACTGACTTTGACACAGATTCCAATTTGAAAATCTCCAAGTGATTAAAGAAGCTGATGGAAACACTGTGAGATAAATAGGTCAAGTTGAACCTAGGTCTCTCTCTGTCCCTCCCCCATCGGTCTGATAGCTGTTATCGATCTGAACTCGGCTAATGATGCCTGGTACGGCAGTTTGAAGGAGACCATACGAGACCAGCAGACCCACGCTGTGTGGGTCTCAGAGGGGAAGGTAAAAACAATGGACGATATAGTTCTCCACCACCTTCTATCCACTCTGAAACAAAACCTTCTGTTAAAGGCAACATGAAACACTGTTTACAAACCATTTTGCTTCTGGCATCTAATGAATTTCGGAGTCAAACCGAATCTAAAATTTTTATTGAAACATTATTAAAATCGCTGTATTCCCCAATTGTATGTCACATTGGATATAAACAAATGCTAATAAATGTAAATGTAGATAATTAAAAATAGAGATGCAGCACGGTTTTACATTTTCCAGGTTTTTCTAATATTAATTAAACATATAATAATATTGCTATCAAATGTAGTTTGTATAAAAAGTATAATACTGATATATTAAAATATATATTAAAATACAGCTTATAGTAATAATAATAAATGCATGAATAATACATAAATATTATAATAACATTACATATTAATGTCAATATGATAAAATCTAGAAATTATAGCTTATAATAATAGTAGTGTTAGTAATAAATTTTAAAAAAGTCATTTTTTTGCTATTATTTAAAAGATGAAAATGAAGAGCTAAAGTTAGAAACAGACTAAATAAGGAAATATCTGGAATATTTCACACCTGGCAACATCCCCTCAAAACAACAGTAAAATTATTTACAATTTATCCCATGATTACTAAATTATGATCTTAAGACAATACAAAAAAAACCAAACATTTGTTTTCATCTTATAAATAATAAATGAAATAATAAATGACAGTATAATCAAATTTATCTAAAACATTAACACGATGAATCATGTACAGTACATTAATATCAGGAATGTGCATTAAAAAAATCAAATCTTGATTTCATGTTGACTTTAATGCAACATTTTACAACATCTCTTTACTTTAAGACTCCTTCATTCACATTTTCCCACTTTATCTTTCCCAGTATTCCTGAATGTTTTCTTTACAGTTAAATCTACTAATGCATGCTTTCCTTTTCTGAAAGTCATGATAGTCATTCCTCCTGTTTTTCTGTGCTTTTTACTGTTCATCATTCTTCGGTGGTGCTCTACAGCTTTCGTTCTGTTTTGTTTTTGTGTTTTTTGTTTTCACTCCTCTCTGTACACAAGATCCATCATGTGTCTCTTTTAGCTGGACGGGACGGAGGGGGCCCTTGACGTTCATGATGACCGCATGTCATATCTCTCAGCCATGAGCGCTGACTATCTCAGCATGGACAGCCGGCTGACCAGCGACTACGACGACACGGCGGACGAGGGAGGGACTTACACAGATAACGAAACGGACGAGCTGCTCGATCGCCAGCGGGTGTCGGCCATTAGCCGCTCCTCTGAGCCAGTCATGCCAGAGGAGGTTAGAGCATGCACGCATACGTTTAACATTTCTACAGGGTTCCCACTGCCATGGATAACCTGGAGCTATCAGAGAGGATGTGCATAGTTCCACACACACACATGCATGCATGCTAATTCCAAAACATTGTGGGCTGTTTGTTATGCCTGAAAACACATATGGATAATACATCTTTCCCAGTGATGGGTGAACTGCTTGCACATGCATTGACATCTCAACACTTAAACATGCTTGCTGCGATGGCATCCCTCACAGTTGCCTAGATCAGCACAAAGTCAGCTCAAGGAAAGACAGCAGAGGTCGAGCCAGCAGGGAAATACATTTTCACATTGAGAACAAGACATTAGCACACACTTGTCATGCACGCATTACATGCTGTAAATGCAGGAAGTGCATGGTAATACGTTTCCATGGCAAATCGCATGGATTTCATGCTTTCCAAAAACGTTAAGCGCATCTGTAAATGCAAAAAGCAGCCACTTCTGCCCCCTTTCTATTAGATGTTGGAACTACAAGATCCTTGATCACTAAAAAATTATTGAATAGAGTAACATAAATGATGATTATTCTAGCAAATATCATTAAAAATATCATTGGTTATGAAAAACCTGGAAATATCAGGGAATCGGTGTTGTGATCGTTAAAACTAAAATGTTTGTTAAATGAAGTGTTATAAATGTAATAAAAAGCTAGGTATATCAATATATAAAGTTATATATAAGATGAAAAACTTGAACTTGAAAAACTTAATAAAAAATTAGAAATGTTGCCTTGGCAACTATCTAAAAAAAAAGTTTCAATTGAAGTACTAAAATTACTAAAACTAAAACAAGTTAAAAAAAATAAAGCTAAATAGAAATATTTTTTCAAAAATGATTACATTTTATTTATTAATAAAATGTTATTTTTGTCAATTTGTTTACATTTTAATAATGACAAAAACACAACAAAATGAAAAAAAGTGAAAATAAAAATAAAAGCTAATTCAAATAAAACCAAATTAAACCTAAATAGAAATATAAAAAAACTAATAAAAATGACAAAAGCACATAATAATGACTGTAACTAACTAAAATTAAAACGAAAATTTAAAAATATAAAAAATAATTTACTAAAACCGTATATAAATAATCCTAAAAGATTGTATACTATTAGGAAAATTGTGATTTAAAAGGCCTTATAAATATAATAATTTAATAATTTATGCATTTAGCAGACGCTTTTATCCAAAGCGACTTACAGTGAAATATAATTAATCAATTGTTAAAAATGGTAATAAAATAAAAAATAAAATAATAATAAAAAACAGCTTTTTAAAAAGCTTTTTAAAGTAACCATAAAGAGCTGGAAAAGTAAAGAAAATGAATTGGTCAAAACAAAAGTGGATGGATAGATGGATGGATGTTAATGTTAAATCAGAAGTGTGCTATACTGTTGGCCCAAGACAAACGCATTCCTGACTATGTTTTCTGTAGTGTGTGTATGCATAAAGGCATTCCCCTGCCTAGACATCTTTCCATGTTATCTATCATGCAAAAAGCATCCACTTCTGCCCCCTTTCTATTAGATGTTGGAACTACAAGATCCTTGATCACTAAAAAATGATTGAATAGAGTAACATAAATGATGATTATTCTAGCAAATATCATTGGTTATGAAAAACCTGGAAATATCAGGGAATCGGTGTTGTGATCGTTAAAACTAAAATGTTTGTTAAATGAAGTGTTATAAATGTAATAAAAAGCTAGGTATATCAATATATAAAGTTATATATAAGATGAAAAACTTGAACTTGAAAAACTTAATAAAAAATTAGAAATGTTGCCTTGGCAACTATCTAAAAAAAAAGTTTCAATTGAAGTACTAAAATTACTAAAACTAAAACAAGTTAAAAAAAATAAAGCTAAATAGAAATATTTTTTCAAAAATGATTACATTTTATTTATTAATAAAATGTTATTTTTGTCAATTTGTTTACATTTTAATAATGACAAAAACACATAACAAAATGAAAAAAAGTGAAAATAAATAAAAGCTAATTCAAATAAAACCAAATTAAACCTAAATAGAAATATAAAAAAACTAATAAAAATGACAAAAGCACATAATAATGACTGTAACTAACTAAAATTAAAACGAAAATTTAAAAATATAAAAAATAATTTACTAAAACCGTATATAAATAATCCTAAAAGATTGTATACTATTAGGAAAATTGTGATTTAAAAGGCCTTATAAATATAATAATTTAATAATTTATGCATTTAGCAGACGCTTTTATCCAAAGCGACTTACAGTGAAATATAATTAATCAATTGTTAAAAATGGTAATAAAATAAAAAATAAAATAATAATAAAAAACAGCTTTTTAAAAAGCTTTTTAACATTTTAATAATGTTTACATTTACATTTGTTTACATTTTAATAATGACAAAAACACAACAAAATGAAAAAAAGTGAAAATAAAAATAAAAGCTAATTCAAATAAAACCAAATTAAACCTAAATAGAAATAAAAAAAAACTAATAAAAATGACAAAAGCACATAATAATGACTGTAACTAACTAAAATTTAAATGAAAATTTAAAAATATAAAAAATAATTTACTAAAACCGTATATAAATAATCCTAAAAGATTGTATACCATATTGTGCCTTTAAGCCACACTTTAAAAGCATGAAATGCATTGACATTTTATTATGTGACATGCATCCATTTTTAAGTTTACAAATACTCTTTGCAGTAAAGACTGTAAACTAACTCTAACACAACTCTTCTCCTGACTGCACCCGCATTCATGCAGAAGAACGGCCTGATTTGGCGCAACCATTTTTCCAGCAGCTCAGAATCCTCTCGCAGCAGCTCAGTGACACATTTTGGTACGCTGTAGAGCCGTGTTCACTGTTGTGCCAAATTGGCTAAATAACTAGTATAGTGTACTTGAAAGCCACTGTCAGCATCTAGATGATTTTGAACTAATTGTACCAGTCACATACACTGTGACCATGAAAAAAAAAAAACGTTAAATGGAGGTAGTTAAGCTTTTACAATAAGTTACAAGAGTTAATTAAAAATGTATTTTTAGTTTTTTTAAATCTAGTTTAGTGTAAATTTATATTAGGCCTATTATATATTTATTATTAATTAATATATTTTCAAAATACATTAAAGCCCCGTTCACACCAAGAAGGATAACTAGAAACACAACTGTAAAGATAACGATATTAGCGATATCGTTTGTTTATTCTAAGCGCACGCTCGTCTGCGGCTTTAAATTCTCAAGCTCGTTATAGCAGGATGGATTCTGATATCTGATACAGTTATCGTCCTTGGTGTGAACGGGCCTTAACTCCTGATTTAACTTCAAATATGTTAAAAATGTATGAATATATGTAGAAATTAACTGCATAGATAACCTAGATAAATGCTATTAAAATTGTTGTTTATTGTTAAATATAAGGATATTTAGTATTATTTACATATTAATGTGGTATTTATTACAATTTTAATTAGCTTTTATTTTTATACTTTGTTTTCATTTTGATTTTACTTTAAATTTGAATCATTATGTGCTTTTGTTATTTTAGTTCTTTTTTGTTTTTAAACATTTCTATTTCTATTTAGCTTTAATTTTTTATTTCAGTTTTAGTAATTTTAGTTCATTCAACTTTTTTTTTTTTTTTTTTTTCAGTTAGTTGCCAAGGCAACATTTTAAAAATTATAATTTATTTAGTTTTCACATTTAGTTTTTTCAAATAATATTTATATTTTATTGTATTTCTGCTTTATTGCAATTAAAAGTTTAATAGTTAATAGTTTCGTTTTAGTTTACTATAACTGTTTCACGATTCCTAATGCATTAATTAATGTTAACGAATTGCACCTTAATTCTAAAGTGTTTCTAGTAGTTTTTAGTATTTTGGCAGTGTTTATAGAAAAACTGGAGCAATTAGTTAGTGTTTGAGATTTTATTAGTAGGTAGTGTTGTGTTAGTAGGTCTTGTGTTTGGAATCATGGAGCTCAGTGTGAAAAATGCAGTGGTGACGATATAATCCAGTGCTGGCCTTTACCTGTGGTTTAGGAAGAGAAGTGTAGTAGGAAACCCTTTGATTCAATTCGGTAGTGCTCTTCTCCTTCATATTAATTTGTCTTTCAGGTAAAAATGCTGTCTCAAGTGGAGGCGTCACGGGGGCAGTACGACCCCTCTCGAAACTACGACTCTCGTTCAAGCAGTCCCGCGAGCAGCGAGCACCCGCGCAGCCAGGACTCTCCTGCAAAAACCAAACCCCTGCCTCCCCCCACAGCTCTCAAACCTACCTACGTGTCCCGCAGCTCCAGAGGCCTCGTAAACAGCCCTCCGGTACGGGACCGCAAACCTCTGGAGGACAGCCCTGACGATCCCTCTCAGAGGTCTTTCCTGGGCAAAGTGAAGGCCTTTGAGAAGATGGATCACTTGGCCCGGACACAGAGAGTCCTGGAGATCCAAGAGGCCCAGAACGCCAGGGTGAGTGTTCACCATCTTTAGGCTTTGCATGAGCAATGACACAACAAAATGACAATTCAAAAACTCTTCCTTCCTTGTATTTGTCAACCAGTAACTTGGTACCTATCTGAAATGCTAGTTCCAGAAACTTGACCTACATGTTTTCTAATTGGTCAGAAATAAATTTGGCCTACATTTACTGCAAAAGAAGCACATCGCTATTTGTTTTTAATTTTTTTGTGAAAGAATCAGTGGAGGTAGATTATTTTATTTGAATTCATTGTTTCATTGAGCATTTGTCTTTTCCTTTTATCCTCTATATTTTCTGTTGTCTGTAGATGCTTTGGAACAATATATTTGTGTACTGCACAGTATACATACTGAAAATAAATGGAATGGAATTAAAATTTTAAATAAAAAAATTAATTTAAATTTAAGAAGTCATTTTATTCAAAATTGGAAAATTGGAATTTTGATCTACATGCTACAGTATGTAGGTTGACAACACAACTTTTAAAATATATATTTATAAAACTTGTTAAATATGTGACCTTGGGCCACAAAACCAGTCATAAGGGTCAATTTTTTTGAAATTGAGATTTATACATAATCTGAAAGCTAAATAGATAAGCTTTCCATTGATGTATGGTGTGTTAGGATAGGACAATATTTAGCTGAAATACAACTATTTGTAAATCTGGAATCTGGGTGAAAAAAAAAAAAATCAAAATATTGAGAAAATCGCCTTTAAAGTTGTCCAAATGAAGTTCTTAGCAATGCATATTACTAATCAAAAATGAAGTTTTGATATATTTATGGACACCAGCGACTTAAGACTGGTTTTGTGCTCCAGGGTCACATATAACATTTTGTCAATATTTACAATATTTCTCTTCTTGAAAACAGACCAAAAATTTTGATGATTCATCATACAAAAATATTTTCTAATAAAATATGCCTCCTTCCAAATTATAAATACCAGTTGTATGTGGCAAATCATAGTTCTGATTAACTCATTTTCTACCCCTAATCCTAACCCTAAATATTTATGTTAGCAATTCTAGTGTGTTTGATTTCTGTTTTCAGATGGAGATTGCACAGAAACATCCAGACATTTATGCCGTCCCCATGAAATCTCAGAAACTGGACCACAGCAGGCCACAACCTATCGGGTAAGAGTCTGGATTTGATCTGAAGGTGTGGTCACAAACAAAATTTTGCAAGCAAAAAGGTATTTTGTCAATAATGTAGTGATGTATGAAGCACAGCTCACACAGAAGTTACTTTCAAACCAAGCAGCTTTTCACACTCGTGAAATCTTATGTGAAATTCCCAATCATGTGCATTCCTATTGAACTGTCTGGACTTGATCCGCAAAAATTAGCAGGATAAATGCGCACACAATCTTTCCCTGATCTTGCTGCATTTGCTTTGTGTCCAGCTCCAGTGCGCGACCGGAGCCCCAGACGCCTCCTTGCAAGCTGCCATACTCGGAGAGCCGCCCGCTCGGCCTCGGCGAGGAGCCCGGAGAGGAGTTTCGACATCAGCTGGCAGAGCAGACCAAGCGTGGCTATTACACCACCACACAAAACTATCAGGACACTGAGCTGTAGAGTTGCTCTGCTTCGGCTCACCGCACAGCTTCACCATTCCACCGGGGCGCCGCCCTGCACCAAAACTGCTGCTGACTTGCAAGTCCCGTTTGCTTTTAAGTTTTCCCACGCATATGTATTTTTCACTTCAGAGAAGTTCAGCTTTCTGTCCATGAGGATAGAATCTTATTGTTTTATATATATATAAAAACCTTAAACCTGTCGTGTGCTACAGACCAGCTTTTTGTTACTTTCTTTTTATAAGCCTGATGAAGCAAAACTGTTTTAAAAATGTCACTCACTTCAAGGTTTATACTATCTTTGCATTCCTTCATTTCTGATCATGTGTGTATATGATGTGAGACAATACACTGGATTTTGTTACAACGTTTTGAAGTGCCTTTTACTTTCCGAATAATGTTGGAGGTTTGTGGACTTGACAATCCAGCCCTCTGGACAATATTTTTGCTGCTTACAGCTCCAAGGAAAAACAGGGAAAAGTCAACACCAAAACCCTTAATACCGTCCGCCCGTATCCTCAGTGTAGCGACAGCAACGACTGACGAGTTTCCAAAAGGGACGCTTCACCAATCAGGTCGATGCTGATTGATTTGAGTGATTGAAATTGCTGTGGTCACGGTTTGTCTTATTTCAACCCCACCGCATTACGTTTTTAACACGCTTGATTGTATGTTGGTCCGCTTTACCTCCAGATATTGGTTCAAAGTGCTTCTAAAACTCGTGGATTATATTTTGATGGCTTCCACTGTGTGTGAGGGTCACACGCCCAGAGAATATTCCCTGGACATTTATGTTCAGGTCTACTGTGGAATTTCACTCTACTACACCAAATAAAACAAACTATATTGACATTACTGACTTAGTTGTGTGCTTTTATTAATCCAACAGGTTGGAATCCATAATCCAGTGGGCTATAAACTGAAGGGATCAATTTTTCTAAAGTTTAAAGGATAGTTCACCCACAAATTTAAATTCTGTTACCATTTACTCACCCTAATGTCATTACAAATGAGATATTTTAAAGACTGTTGGGAACCAAACAACATTTGAGCCCACTGACTTAGTATGGACAATGGTCAAAATCTCTTTTGTTTCACAGAAGGCATACAGGTTTGAAATAACATGAGGGTAAAGTAACTATCCTTGTAAACAACCCAATAACAAAGCCGTGACAATCAAAACTTTACTAGTATCACAAATTAGCTTGACTGGTTTATTATGCACAAAAAAAAGGAGATGTTATTATACTGTGATTTCCCATCCGTGTGGTATAAGTAATGAAAATTGATTCTGTGGTGAAACGCAGTGGTTTCATTGGGTCCAGTGAGTCGACTCTTGTTCAGCGCCGTGTTAAAGCCATTATCCTTGTACATGCAACTTTTCAGAAGACGCTCAGAAAACCAACGACGACTTCCGTTAAAGGTTGTCTGAAAATGAACAGGGGTGCGTTTCCCAAAAGCATCGTTAGCTAACTATGGTAGTTAGTTCCATTGAAATCTATTGGTAACGAAGGAACTTGTGACCATAGTTGCTTTTGGGAAACGCACCCCAGTATGTGTAAACACTATTGTCTGAATAATCTTAACAATAGGGCAGTGTACTCACCGGCATTTCATGTAACGTTACTGTTGGTTTTTTGCTTCCATATGTTTGATTTGTCGTTTGGTATAAAGGGTTGATCATTTTTTGGCTGGAAAGCATAATGAGCCTTATTATTATAGGAAGATGGATTAACAACGTATACATAAATTATATAGCTTCAGCCCTAACACCTTCACATTTCTGCCATATGTACATTAATTGACAGTCGCCACTGATAAGCTACCACTAAATATTGTAGAAACTTAATTTGCTGTAAAGTTGCTTTGCAATGATTTGTATCGTGAAAAGCGCTGTACAAATAAACTTGACTTGACACCTGAAACTGCTAACATTAATCAAGGTCTTCAGGATTAACGTAACGTTACGAAACTTCCAAGCAGGTTTGTTGGAGCTACATGTTCCTCCAGGAGCAGGATTATGCAACTAAAGAGCTAAAAACTAACATATGAATTGTAGGAGCCATTTTAATGCAATATGTGTTTTGTCCATGGGGAGGCGTTGTGATACTTTTATATTAAGAGCGCCTGGCTAATGGGATGGAATGTTGGATGGCAGGAAAGCAAACAGTTTTTGACCGTGACCGATTGAGCGTACAGCTCCAAATTATCCTGTGCACTAACTTTTATTTATCACTCAAATCCGTTTATCTACCTGTCAGTTGGTCCGCCATGTTTGTAGTTTTTTTTAAAAACACTTTTAATGCGTGTTTGTAGTTCTAATTGAATCCTCGTCCACTGGAATACATATATACACTCATATATTAATGAATGAATAAACGAACGAATAAATGAATTTAACATCACACATGATGCACCGCGGCTGAATGACTCATCTCACCTGTATCCTCTGAAACACTCCGGATTATTAAACGAGCAGGTAAGTTTTTATCCACGTTGTACACATCGCTTGTCTTTATTTCAGTTGTATTAGACGATGGTTCAGGCTCCGCTCTTGCTCCTTCATCTACGGAAAGATCGTCCATTGCTGCGTCCCAATTCGCCTACTTATACTATGCCCGAAAAGTACTTATTGTGAAGAAAAAGTACATACTTTTGAGTATGTAGAAGAATAGTAGGCAAGCTTT